CCGTTCCCATTGGCCAGCGCTGCTTCGCGTTCAGACGCGAGGTATTCGCGCAGCGCTGGTTCAATGACCACCTGGGTTTGTTCGACCTGTGCGGGGGAGTTGGCGGTGAGGTTGACTGCATCGGTGCGGGGTCTCCTTACTGTAGGCTGCGACAGAGGCGACATCGATTCATTCCGAATCCTCTTCCTGCTTGTCATCGGATCTGGAGTGATTGGCGATAGTGCGGACGCAACCGCGGAGGAGCACTCACCCTCTTTTACATCGTCGCGAGCTGTTGGTGGCGTCGATGTCGCTGCCTGATGGTCGATCTTCTCGTTCGTTGGGCAGGTGGGCGGCTCACAGGGCACACTGGGAGAAGGGATTGGTTGCTGTTTCTTCCTAGCGGCATCGAGGTATTGCTTATAGATGGGTTTATCCCTTCGATGCCGTATTTGGTCCTTCGTCAGACCTGATTCGGCAACCATTTTCGCCATAAAGGGGCCTTTATGTGACTGGATCTCGATGTTTGCCAGTATATCATAGATTTCGGAATCAGGCCTTCGTAGTTCCCTCCTCCTGCTGTCGTTTTCTGCTTCGGGGTGTGCCCTCTGCTCGTGAAGCCGCACCCCTGTGTATGTAGTAAAACCTGCTTTGCAATATTGGCATTTAGTTCGATCGCGCTTGCCACATGTTAGGAGATGTTTGTTGAGGCCACTTTTTGTCTCATAGGGCCTCTCGCATATTTGACACCTGTATGGTGCTGCATTGGCAGGCTGCAGGGTCACCGTATTACTGGGCCCTGGTATTGGAGAAACGGTATTCGAGCCTGCCAATTTGGTTCCGGTGGCTGTTGGGCCACCGGCAGTCGATTTTCCACCCGCTGGAGGGGATTTAACTGGTTCCCCCTCATTTATATCGAATTTCCTCTTGCGGGTGGGGTGACGTGACGTCATGTCACGTGTTCTAACTCTCTCTGCCGCAACAGCGGTTTTAAATGTCTTCCTCTTGGAATCCGCCATTGCGCATGCGCCGCTGTTGTTGAGTGTCTTTGGGTAGATTAAAGTACTGTCCTTTCCGCGTATGGGAGTGAAGACCGTTTGCCGCTACGTGGTCTGGTTCCGGAGATATCGCGTGTGAAAGATTTTATCTCCGGAACTACCTCCTCCCAGCTCCTGGTCTCCTGATACCTGGCCGCACTTAATACGGCCAGTACGGCGTTAACTGTCGAGTTATGGAGCTGAGATTTGGTGTGTGTCCTTGGGGCCGGTAGATGATTGATTGGACGCCTTTTTGGCCCCGTCGGACACGATGTACTTGCCAAAAGGGCACTAGCGGCTTGACGCCGGAAACCGGCGTTGCGGGGGGCAATCGAGCTGGTGTGATAGAGTCATAGTTACTCCCGCCGTTTACCCGCGCTTGCTTGAATTTCTTCACGTTGACATTCAGAGCACTGGGCAGAAATCACATTGAGTCAACACCCGCAGGGGCCATCTCAATGCTTTGTTTTAATTAGACAGTCGGATTCCCCCGGTCCGTGCCAGTTCTGAGCTGACCGTTGAATGGCGGCCGAAGAGGACACCAGAACGCCCTTGCGAGCGCACTCTGGGCCTCGCAGCAAGACGGTTCCGCGGGAGGCCAAGGCACGGTACCGAGTTCGGATCCGCAATCCTACCGCACACGCGCGAACGCATACGACAGAACGTTTCACCTCGCCCAGGCCCGGCACGTCAGCCGCGACCCGCTTCCTCGCCAAGCCCGACACGCCCCGATCCTCAGAGCCAATCCTTATCCCGAAGTTACGGATCCAATTTGCCGACTTCCCTTACCTACATTATTCTATCGACTAGAGGCTCTTCACCTTGGAGACCTGCTGCGGATATGGGTACGAACCGGCGCGACACCTCCACGTGGCCCTCTCCCGAATTTTCAAGGTCCGAGGGGAAGACCAGGACACCGCTGCAACTGCGGTGCTCTTCGCATTCCAAACCATATCTCCCTGCTAGAGGATTCCATGGAACTCGAATGCTTATGCAGAAAAGAAAACTCTTCCCTGGTCTCCCGACGGCGTCTTCGGGTCTTTTTGGGTTACCCCGACGAACTCTCTTGCGAGGGCCCGACTATTGTACGGTTCCGCTGCCGGGTTTCGGAATAGGAACCGAATTCCCTTTCGCCCGACGGGCGTGTTCTTTATATATACACACATACATACATATATTTATAAAACAACGCCACATCAACATCGGCTTTCGCCTAGGGCTTAGGATCGACTGACTCGTGTGCAACGGCTGTTCACACGAAACCCTTCTCCACGTCAGTCCTCCAGGGCCTCGCTGGAGTATTTGCTACTACCACCAAGATCTGCACCGACGGCGGCTCCAGACGGCCTCACGGCCAGCCCTTCTGCGCGCACCGCCGCGACCCTCCTACTCGTCAGAGCTTCATGGCCGATCCGTTTTTACGCGGATCGAGACCGCACATGCCGCTGACGGCCGAGTATAAGCACGACGCTTCAGCGCCATCCATTTTCAGGGCTAGTAACTTCGGCAGGTGAGTTGTTACACACTCCTTGGCGGATTCCGACTTCCATGGCCACCGTCCTGCTGTCTTAAGTTACCAACGCCTTTCATGGTATCCCATAAGCGTCGATTTAGGCGCTTTAACTCGACGTTTGGTTCATCCCACAGCGCCAGTTCTGCTTACCAAAAATGGCCCACTTGGCACTCTGATTCGATTCTCGCAGCTTCATTAGTTCGAGCAAGCCGGAGATCTCACCCATTTAAAGTTTGAGAATAGGTTGAGGTCGTTTCGACCCCAATGCCTCTAATCATTCGCTTTACCGGATGAAACTCGTCACAGACGAGCGCCAGCTATCCTGAGGGAAACTTCGGAGGGAACCAGCTACTAGATGGTTCGATTAGTCTTTCGCCCCTATACCCAGTTCCGACGATCGATTTGCACGTCAGAATCGCTACGGACCTCCATCAGGGTTTCCCCTGACTTCGTCCTGACCAGGCATAGTTCACCATCTTTCGGGTCCCAGCGTGTACGCTCTTGGTGCGCCTCTTCTCGTAATGAGAACGAGACGCCCCGGGAGTGCGGAGCGGCCGCTTTATAGACGTGCCGCCCATCTTCCCTAAATCCGCGCTAGGCGGATCTTTACTTTCATTGCGCCTTTAGGTTTAGTTATGTCCCAATGACTCGCGCACATGCTAGACTCCTTGGTCCGTGTTTCAAGACGGGTCCTGAAATTACCCAAAGCTATAGCGTCGCAGATCGGCGTTTCAAACGAGGTCTGTCCGAGAAATCCGCACGACCAACAGTCGTCCGGGGACGGAACCGGGCGCTAGGTCCGATCGCCGTCTTAGCATCGAACGTGCTTGTCGTGGGTCGGACGCTAATTGAAGAAGTAGCGGCCTCGCGCCATCTGTATACCGTCGAGCGAGTCGGCCGGAACATCGCGGGTTCGAGCACGAATCGCCGAAACGATCGTACACGGACTCCACCGCGAGCCGTAGACCGACACCCAACGGATCGCGACGTCCTACTAGGGGAAAAGTGCACGCGTTCGACGCCGGATCGAAAAGCGAAAGGCGCGGACGACGCGCGAACGCCGTCCGTCGCGCGACCGCTCATCGCCGACGGCCGAAACGCGAATGAATTTCCCCTTTCGACCTTTCGGGTTTCTCAGGTTTACCCCTGAACGGTTTCACGTACTCTTGAACTCTCTCTTCAAAGTGCTTTTCAACTTTCCCTCACGGTACTTGTTCGCTATCGGTCTCGTGGTCATATTTAGCCTTAGATGGAGTTTACCACCCACTTAGGGCTGCACTCTCAAGCAACCCGACTCTGAGGAGAGATCCTCCCGCGATCGGCAGCGGCCACTACGGGCCTGGCACCCTCTATGGGCTGTGGCCCCGTTCAAGAAGGACTTGGACTCGCCGCGCGACCTCGGGATAAACGGATCCTCCCTAACACCACATTTCCCGGCGCCCGATATCGACCGCGGGATTCGGTGCTGGGCTTTTCCCTGTTCGCTCGCAGCTACTGAGGGAATCCTAGTTAGTTTCTTTTCCTCCGCTTAGTAATATGCTTAAATTCAGCGGGTAGTCTCACCTGCTCTGAGGTCGGTTAACAATATACAACACAACACCACACACAGATATATATGTCACACGCGATCGCTAATACTAAATCGTATAGCTGCTGCTGCTATACTACTACTAGTCGAAAGCGTTCTCTAGTGTTTAGCGCGTATATGCGATCAGACGTCGTTATCTCGAAAAAAATTTCTCTCTCGGACACGACGATCGCAGCGCAAGTTCGAAACGCGTAACGACTACAGCATATATACATATATATATATATATATATATATGTAGTGCTATTACGATTTTTATCCGTACAGCGCGCGTGTTCGTTCTATGTGTGAGTTTGAGATGCCGCGACGACGACAAAGACGACGACGTTTACGATATTACATAAATAAATATATAATAACTAGCGTCGTCGCGTCGTACCGCCGCGTCTACATCCAACACGCTCCGACGTTTCATTCTCCTCTCTCATGTCGTCGTCGTCGTCGTCGTCTCTCGGATAAAGAGATAATACGACGACGCGAACAGAGATCGGAGAGGAAACCGAGCAGTCTTTTAAATTGATACGACCCTCAGCCAGGAGTGGTCCGGGAACAGTATCCGAGGACCGCAATGTGCGTTCGAAATGTCGATGTTCATGTGTCCTGCAGTTCACAAGTTGACGCGCAATTAGCTGCGTTCTTCATCGACCCACGAGCCAAGTGATTCACCGTTCAGGGTAATCGTTTTTTAATTAGACGATCTCTATATAATAAAATATATATCGATACGTCTTTATTGTTATGATAATGGCTAATGTTATTAAAGAAAATATATAAAAAAAAGAAAGCGCGCATTTCTCACGGAGACTTCGTGTATTTTGCGCGGCAAACGCGCAAAATTATTTTTGCGCGTTTATAACAAACGAGCGTGCCGACGAAGTCTCTC